CTTCTTCTTCTGGAACCCCTATAATTCGAATGTTGGTGCGTTTAATGTTGTCCCAGAGGTCTCTGAGACTGTCCTCAGTTCTTTTCATTCTTTTTTCTTTATTCTGCTCTGCAGTAGTTATTTCCACTATTTTATCTTCCAGGTCACTTATCCGTTCTTCTGCCTCATTTATTCTGCTATTGATCCCATCTAGAGTATTTTTCATTTCATTTATTGTGTTGTTCATCATTGTCTGTTTCATCTTTATTTCTTCTAGGTCCTTGTTAACTGCTTCTTGCATTTTGTCCATTCTATTTCCAAGATTTTGGATCATCTTTACTATCATTATTCTGAACTCTTTTTCAGGTAGACTGCCTATTTCCTCTTCATTTGTTAGGTCTGGTGGGTTTTTATCCTGCTCCTTCATCTGCTGTGTGTTTTTCTGTCTTCTCATTTTGCTTATCTTACTGTGATTGGGTTCACCTTTTTGCAGGCTGCAAGTTCGTAGCTCCCGTTGTTTTTGATGTCTGTCTCCAGTGGCTAAGGTTGGTTCAGTGGGTTGTGTAGGCTTCCTGGTGGAGGGGACTAGTGGCTGTGTTGTGGTGTATGAGGCTAGATCTTGTCTCTCTAGTGGGCAGGTCCACGTCTGGTGGTGTGTTTTGGGGTGTCTGTGGACTTATTATGATTTTAGGCAGCCTCTCTGCTAGTGGGTGGGGTTGTGTTCCTGTTTTGCTATATGGTTGGCATAGGTTGTCCAGCACTGTAGCTTGCTGGTCGTTGAGTGAAGCTGGGTGCTGGTGTTGAGATGGAGATCTCTGGGAGATTTTCGCCGTTTGATATTATGTGGGGCTGGGAGGTCTCTTCTTGACGAGTGTTCTGAAGTTGGCTCTCCCACCTCAGAGGCAGAGTCCTGACTCCTGGCTGGAGCAGCAAGAGCCTTTCATCCACTCGGCTGAACCGGAAGAAGCTGAAGGAGAGCTGGTGGGAGCAGGAGCCGCCACAGTCACAGCTGAGGCTTGACTCCCGTGAAGTCAAAACAGCGCGAAGAACCAGGCTACTTAATTATTAAGAACAACAGAGAACTCCTCCTCCCACCCCAATGCAAGCCATTTGGAGGAAAAGAATGACCTATGACCCAGAATTATCTTGTTCTTGGTACAAGCACCTACTTTGACTACTTTTAAAATTTTACTTGAGAATTAGGAAGAGAATTATTTTTCATGCCCAAATGTGTTTTATGTCCACAGAGTAAAAGGAAAAACCGAAATATTAATTTGGTTGCAATTTGAGTCCCCAAACTAGATAAAATATTTAAAATGTGAACAGCTCAAACTGAATGGAGGCACCCTAGATTTTGTCCCTAACGAATGATTGATACGGACTCCTGGTGTTACTTTCCAGACCTTTTTCTTCCTTAAAAATACCAACTACCTGCAGTGCTTTTCTAAAAAACATAATTATTCACAATCAGCTTCTCTTCTGAAAGTATATTTGTACTCTTACTCAAAGACAGACAAAGGATTAAGTGAGGATCATCTATTCAATTCCTTTGTCAGAAAACTTATGCCTGGGTCTAGAAACAATATAACATGGAACTCAACTTCCAGTATTAGGTTTTCTATGTTCAGCAAAAATTACACAGATATTTACACCCCCTTAACTCCAAATGCTGCACTCAAAGAAGCCAATGTGAACACTAAGGCTCATTACTAAAACAGAAAAGAAAAAAATCTCAGTGCCTCAGTTTTATAGACATATAGCTCATTTACCGTGTTCGACTGAACATCTCCAATTTAAAAACAAAGACATCACAAAATGATATAACGGTGCTGCTGAAGGATGATGAAGATGAGGATGACGATTTTGGTCTTAACAACTCATTATGTGTTTCCTTCTATTTCGGTTGTTTTCAAAGATTTGGAATTCTGAATTTTGACAGTGCCACTTTAAGAGCCCAATTTAGTTGCTTTGCAGTGCTGTAAATCAAAGGACTTACTGGGCCACTGGTAGCCTGCCAAAAGTGAGCAAGACAGGCCAAACACATGTCCGCAGTTACAGTTTCAGCTGTGTACGATCAACTGCTAAATCCCTGAGTTAGGCTCTGTTTCTTTTACTATGAAGGCAGTTTTTGCAGCAATGAGCCTAGTATAACTCAGAGATGTGATTTCTACATAAAAAGTCAGGACTGTCCCCGAACACATTGTTTAATACTGTGCTACTAACCTTAGGTGGCCAAACCCAGAGTCGGATCCCTTCTTAAGGGCTCACTATTGGATAATCTCACTGTGGGACACACGCCATTAACTTGCCTGGTCTCCTTTGGTGTAAGCCTGTTAATGTGAACAGGGCTTGCATGGAAAGCCAAAGGGCTCACAATGGCCGAGCTAAAAGGTGGGGCACGGCCCCCATGCTCTGCTTGTCTCTGGGCAAAGCCGCCAGCAACAAGCCCATGCAGCACAACTGTGAGCTGCCAAGCCTGCACGGGGGGCAGGGCTGGGGAGCAGAGAGGTCTGCCGGCACTGGGTGAGAACCATCCAGTTTCTTGCACAGAATAAATCCAGTCCAGCGAACGCCTGGTACACGTGAACAAGCTTGTGTCGCTAGGGCACCGGAAACCATTGAAAGTAATTACAAGATGAAGACATCCTGGCATGGAGCTCGCAAGGTACGATACAGCTTTACACAGTTCAGCAGCTGAAGACGGAATCTGGCGTATGGATTTAGTGAACTGGCTGAAATAGAGCCCTAGCCAAAATGGCATGTAAAATAATATCAACCGGTGGGGCTTTCTCTCCAGGAGACATAAGGGAATCTACATAGAATGAGTACCACAAAAGTTTCAGAATGTGATCCCAAGAGTATTAACACGTTTCTACATGCAGTGCCAAGAATGAATTCACCCACTACTTAATTCCCTCCAACTCACAATTTCTTAAATGGTGTCTCCAGTCCTATAGGGAAGGACTTTGTGCCTATTCAGTATTCATCTGCACTGAAGATTATTTATGCTTTGGGACTGGCAACAGACCTTGGGGCACCACTGCAATATCAGGCATTTGTGAAAAGTGGAAAAAAGAAAAAAAGACTTTACATGATATCATGGGAGAACAAAGAAAAAAGAGGACATAATTGCTGAGGTAAGGCAACTATTCAAAGAAAAAAAAAGGGCTTTTTTTTTTTAAGGTTCAAACTTCTGTTAAAGAAGAATTGAAAGACTAGTACAGGGAACATTCCTATGCCCTTCACTTAGATTTCCCAACTGTTAACATTTTGCCATAATGGCTTTATTTCCTTCTCTCTCCCTCTCTTATATATATATCTTTTCTCCTGAGCCATTTGAAAGTAAGCTGCAGACATTATGACACTCAGCAAGCATTCCTTAAGAATAAGAATGTTCTCCTTCATAACCATAATACCATTATCATATCTAGGAAAGTTAAAAATTCATTAAATAATAGCATATAATATGCAGTCTATATTTAAATTTCCCCAGTTGTCCCTAAAACACCTTTTATAACTTTTACTTTTTTTTTTTTTTTTTTTTTTTTTTTTTACCACGTCCTCCCACTGTTGTTACCTCTCCCGCTGCGGAGCACAGGCTCCGGACGCGCAGGCT